CAAAGCAAGGGCTGGTGAGATGGCTCAGTGGTCTAAAGCACCTACTTAGAACAAGCTTCGCAAAGCACAGGGACCACGGTTCAATCCCCAGCACCACATGCCAGCCCGCCCCGCCCCCTGGTGGGCTGAGCTGGCCACACACACACACACACACACAAAATTTAAAAAAAAAACCAAAGCAAAACAATCTCAAAACAAAAATAGTAATGCCATTGTACACAACTGATTAGAAATGAACCCAGGGCTGCTCTACCACTGAACTACATATCCATTCTTGTTTTTTATTTTGAGATAGGTTCTTTCTAAGTAGCTCTGGCTGACCTCAAACGGTAATCCTTCTGCCTCAGTTTCCTGAGTAGCTGGGATTTCGTATCGAATGACTGACCTATATAAACCTATAGGTTTGTGTAAATGGGCTCTAGGATATTCACATGACTAATCTCTCAGCATGTGGCCCTAAGCGATGTGTGACAGTCTGCGCACACACAAGAACAGACTTCTCTGTGGAACATCAGGAAAAACTGGGTCAACTGCAAGATTCTAGAAACCTTACAGTAGCAGGTCAGAGGCTACGAAGCTGGCGGCCAGCTTTACCTTCAGGATTTCACCAGGGGCTGCATCCGGGGGTACGAGCTTGCCGCAACGCTTTGCATACTCACTGACCACGGCCGACGCTGCGTCCACGCTGCGGAGCAGAAAGCAGACAAGACGATGAAGGCTCCCCTGGGCTGAGAAATGTGTGTGCTCTTTCCTGAGGGCTGGCTTCACGGGGACACAGATGCCAAAACGCATCGAACCATACACTTCAAATATGTGTGGCTTATGTCTCAACTACAACTCAAAAAATAATCTCATCCAAAAAAATAATAACACTCATCCATAAATGACAATACTCACTAATGGCTGCTCAGAAGGAAAAGAAGCAGGAAGAAACCCATAGGGCAATGACAAGAAATGGAGGCTGTCCTGTGACCAGCACAGCTGTGCACGAGTGGGACTGGAGCTGGAGCCCTGTGTCCCCTGACGGCACGCAGCCTCTCCACAGTCAGCCCACAGCCTCCTCAGGTTTGTGCGTTCCGCTCCCAGCCCAGCCCATCTCCAGAAGCTTACTGTTCCCACACTTGGGGCCACTGGAAAATCAGCTAACGGAGCTCGGCAGAGCGTGTGCTGCAGACGCTCTTGGCGCCACGAGCAAGCGCTAAGGAACCCGGCCGTAACGCAGGGCTTGTCTCGCTGCCTGACTCCCTCCCAGGCCGTGCTCCAGCTGACCTGGCAGCTAACTCGGACTGCATGGGAGCTTGTTATTGTGCACTGTTAATTACAACCACAAAGCTCTGCGACTGCTTACCAGTTTCTTCCAAATACAGATACAGTTGAAGGAAGTTCTGTGAGTAATTTTATTGACTTACCTTAAGTCACTGGCCAAATAGTTGACTAGCGCAGTGATGCTGTCGGTATTCATCATGTGCAATTTTAGCACTTCAAAGTATTTTGTCTTTGCCAAAATCCCAAATTCCTTCTTTTTTATGATATTATTCAGAATCAGGCTTCTAATCTAGAGAACAACAGGTATCATAATATTAAAAATGTGCTGTTCCAGGTTCTTCATTCGATCCTAAACATTCCTGCAGCTGAACCTGAGTTAGTACTGCATCAGTCCGAACCTCCTGTTTAGCCCCAGGCAGCACACGGTATGGAAACGGGAAGCCACTATGGGTACGATTGTGGGAACTTTTTATGAGGAAGATCTGCTTAACTACAAGCATTTTCCAGGAGTGGCGGCACATGCCTGTAATTCTAGTGCTCAGGAGGCTGAGGCATAAGGAGAGCTGGGAGTTCAAAGCCAGAGTGGGCTACACAGTGAGTTCAAGACCAGCCTGAACTACAGTGAGACCCTGTCTCAAAATTCTAGAAAAGAAAACAAAAAGCCCTCAACTTATAAGCACTTAAGATATAAATGTTTTGTGCCTATCATTTTTTTTTTTGCAGAACCAGGAATTGAACTCAGGCCCTTGCACTTGCCAGCGAAGTGCTTATTCCACTGAGCCATCTCCCCAGCCCCTATAAGCACTTAAGGATATAAAATTTCCACTGAGCAGAGCAGTAAGATAGTTATGATCCTTGCTTTTTAAAAAAAATCTGAGATTTTAATAAGACAAAATAGCTTTTAGATGTTAACAAACAGCAAAAGTCTAACTAAATCTTGGTTGAGAGGGAATGACTACCTTCTAGGACCAAATTTTTCATAGAAAAAGAGACAAAATTGTCTTACTTGATGTGCAAATCCTGCTAACTGTCCAGAATTCATATGTTCTTCTAATTGCTGTAAAATGATCTGAGGATTGCATGAGTCCAGAAAATTCTAGGGAAAAAAATGAAAGCACAACTTAAAAAAGTATTATTATTACTAATTTCTATCAGTCTGGAAGGTTTTATTTTAAAAACTGAAACATGTCAAAATAATTTTTAATGTAGAAAAAAATTCTGTCAACAGGTATTATTAAGAGGAAAAAAGTATTTTATAATTATTTAAAGAGCAAAAATGGTTTATCAGCATTTGTTGGTCTAAATGCCAAAAGGAATATTTACTCAAATGTTGAAAAACAGCCAGGGATGAATTTATGAATAATCAAAAGAAGAAAACATATCAAAGAAAGTAAAAAGATGCTTTGAGAAAATGCAATTAAAAGACCTAAAGGCAAACAAAGAAACAAAAAAACCCCACATTCATGTATACAGATCTCCATGTCCTTCCTTATACAGCTGTGAAGGAAAGAACTATAAAGCATTTAAAATGCTTTGTTCTGTCTGTTCTTGTATTAGGAGAAGAGTTATTTTTAAAAGTTCCATCCTCAGCAGGCTCACAGCTTCTTGGTTAGACACCCACATGTAAAATCTGGCTCCCCTCTCCTGGAGCGGTCTCAGAAGCCGGCTGCCCCCTGCGCCTACCTCGGGGCCCCCCTCAGTGCCCGCTGCTGCCCACCGCTGGGCTGCCTGTACGGCAGCAGCTAATGCCCTGTGCGACCCGGACAGCTTCCCAAGCGTCTTCCTGCTTGCCAGCCCTCTCTTCTGACCAAGCCTAGTGGGCATGGGATGACGGCCTTCATCACTTCACTTTAACCTCCCAAGAAATTGGTTGTTCCCCATGCAGAAGTGCACCGTCCAAACCTCTTGATGGCAGGCCTCAGCTGCATCTCCACGGTCTCGCTGCCTTACACCCCGCTAGCCCCACCCCCAACACACACCCCAACTTCACAGGCTTGGTGAGCAGAAAGTGCACCTTTGCAACGGATGGGCAATCTGAGGGCCTCCATTTCCTTGGCAACCCCAGAGGAATAATGTGCAAGATACCTGAATTTGATACTTTCTCTTTTCGGAGTGGGGCATGAGCATCAGACACGCTAAGGCAAAGGCTGGAAGCTCTAACTGGATGTACTGCCTCGCGACTCCCATCATGTCGAGGTCATCTGAAACTGGACATCTTTGACAGAATGCATTAATTATTAACAGCCTGTTGGATTTACTACATTATTTTGACCTTCCTAGCTTTCTGCAGATGTTACCTGTCCAGGCTTTAAATTTAAAATACTGAAGTGCTTAACAATGAGCAACTCAAGTCTTCGATGACTTCTGCCTAGCATAAAAGAATCTACCAGCAGCTCACAAACTACTCCCTGCTACCAGGATTAAACCTGGAAGCCTACAGATACATAAAATCAATTCTTAGAAGTCTCCAAATCTATGAGACAAGGCTGTAGGATTTGCAATGCTGGGGTGTCACAAAAGGCACTTTATACTTACATTACAATCAGGTGCTAATTCTAGAGAATGGTTAGTGAGTATCAGTTTACTAGCAAACCAGAAAGCACAACACACGGAAAGCAGACAATATAAAAATAAATGTTTTGCCACAAGAACAAGTGATGAAGCTGGGCATGGTGGCACAAGCTTGTAAGCCCAGCACTCGGGAGGCCGAGGCAGGAGGATCAGTGTGAGTTTGAGGCCAGCCTTGGCTTCATAGTGAGTTCAAGGCCAGCCTGCACTACAGTGTAACCGTACCTCTAAATAAATAAATAAAAATAAACAAGTAAATAAATAGAGCAAGTGATACTGAGGGTGCAGCTCGGTGGTGGGGCGCTTGCCTGGCATGAGCAAGGTCTGGATTCCACGCCCAGTATCACAAAACCACAAAGGTTTGATGCTTAGCTCCCAACAAAACAGAATCACAGTGCTCCCCTCTTATCCATGTGGGCTGCTACGTTCAAAGACCCCTTGTATATTCCTGACACTTGGCCAGCACCAAACCCCATTTACTATGTTCCCCCACGTACATATACTTCTGACAGTTTAATTTATAAATGAGGCACAGTAAGAGATCAGCAGTAATTAATAATAAAATAATTACAACAATACTCTATAATAAAACTGCTGGCCTCACATGCCTGCTCTTTGGGGCCGTTAGTGAGTAGAGCAAGACCCCCTGCACCGAGCACCGTGACGTGCAAGAGCTGAGTGGGAAACACAGCAACTGCGTGGCTGCTGGGCGGGCAGGCAGACAGCACGGGCGTGCTGCTCCAAGGGGCAGGGGACATCCTGGAGCACAGGCACAGCCCTCGTCACACACTCAGAGCAGTGTGCAATTCAAAATTCGGAGACCAGAGAGGCAAAGCCACAGATGGTGTGTGCGCCTGTGTGTGCACACCGGTGTGCTGTGCTCACAGATAGGTCCATCAGAAAAGGATTTTAGAAGTAACAGGTTTTATTTTCTAGGTAGGAGAACAAACATTTTACTTACTCTAGAACAGCAATGAGACTCCTACAGCAATCTGTTAACTGACTGGGCCTTAAGGGATAAGAGGCTGAAAAGAAAAAAACAATGACACGCACAGGTGCTCAGCTACAAACCAGCACTGCAGGCGCTTCCAAGGGCAGGAACGTACCTGAGAGGAGGGGCATCTGTATCACGTGCTGCCAAGCTCTGCCGAAGCAGGGGACCTGCGCAAGTGGGAGCAGCAGAGAGCGCGGGTTTGAGGCACTGCAAACTCTTATACAGGGGCTGGTGAGATGGCTCAGTGGTCTAAAGCGCCTACTTAGAACAAGCTAAGCTAAGCAAAACACAAGGACCACGGTTCAATCCCCCAGCACCACA